CGGGCACCCGCCAAGAACCTCCGTCTGGAAAAGCCCGCGAGGACCTTGGGTTTCATTTTCAGTTTAGGCGGAAATCCAGGGCTGCTCTGAGGATGACGCTGGGGCTGACGGCTGGGCGGGACTAACGGGGTGTCTGCCTGGGGTCGGTCCAGGCTCTCACACCTTCCAGAGGATGTACGGCTGCGATGTGGGTCCTGACCTGGACCTCCTCCGCGGGTACGAGCAGTACGCCTACGACGGCCGGGACTACATCGCCCTGAACGAGGACCTGCGCTCCTGGACCGCGGCCGACTCAGCCGCGAGGATCACCCAGCGCAGGCAGGAGGCCGCTGGTGTGGCAGAACAACTTAGGGCCTATATGGAGGGCAGGTGCGTGCAGTCGCTGGGCTACTACCTGGAAAACGGGAAAGACACACTGCTGCGCGCAGGTACCAGGGGCCACGGGGGTTCCCGAATCTCCTGTCCTGCTGGGGCTGCTGTCCCACACGGAGGGGAAGAGAGTGGGGATCGCAGGGAGCCAGGTGGTGCAGTGGATAAAGTTCCGACTCCCACAGGGGTGACCTCTCTGTGAGACTCACACAGGTGGCTAGGAGATCACCTCAGGGCATGTGTGTGTGTGTGTGTGTGTGTGTGTGTGTGTCTGTGCCCAAAATTCAGGGAGCAGATGGAGGAGGAGGAGTAAGGTGTGGCCATACCCTGGGGATGATTTCTTACTTTCCCCCTCACTGTCTCTCTGTTTCTCTCACCTGGTGAGTGCATGCCCTATGTCAAAAACATTAAATAAATAAATAAATAAACCACACACACAGAGAGAGGGAAACAACAAAGAAACGGGGATTGACTCCAAAATAAAGAAGCCCCTCACTTCTGTCGGGCAGCGTCCTTCTGGTTTTTAGATCCTGCACCAGAGACTAATTTACCCAGAGCCCCCTCCTTTCAGACAGTGAAGGGTCAGTCTCTGGGAATACACTGAGGACAGTCCTGAAGTCACCGTCAGCAGTGAGCAGGTACTCTGGCTGCGGTTCTTCCACCTTGACCCCTAAGGCCTTGATCTCTGCTCCCACTCCCCAAAATGACTGAGAGCTGAATCCAGTTAGTCTGAGTCCCCTCCATCCTTATCGGGATCCCCATTTTCCCCCTCAGAGACCTGAATTCTACCCAGCACTGTTCACCTGAATCTACAACCTTCCCAGGAGTAGATCCCCCCAGACACCTGAGCCAGGCTTAGTAGACCTCCCTGACCCAGGTGTTTTGTCCACGCCCAGATGGTCACACTAGGGCTACTTCCTGGGCAGTGGGAGGGGCTGCACCATGTCTGAATCTCCCAACTCTTCCCCGCAGACCCCCCGAAGGCACAAGTGACCCACCACCCCACCTCTGACCGTGAGGCCACCCTGAAGTGCTGGGCCCTGGGCTTCTACCCTGCGGAGATCTCCCTGACCTGGCAGCGGGATGGGGAGGACCAGACCCACGACATGGAGCTGGTGGAGACCAGGCCTGCAGGGGACGGAACCTTCCAGAAGTGGGCGGC